GACAGTTAAGCATCAATAAAGATGCCATATTTAGGAGGCACTACAGTTTAATGGAAAGAATATTGGTCCAGCCAGGCACAGTGGCACACATCTATAATCCCAGCGGTTTGGGAGATTGAGACAGGAGGATTGTGAGTTCAAAGCCAGCCTCAGCAAAAGTGAGGTGCTAAGCAACTCAGTGACACTGTGTCTCTAAATAAAACACAAAACAGGGCTGGAGATGGGGCTCAGTGGTCGAGTGCTCCTGAGTTCAATCTCCTGTACAAAAAAAAAAAAAAAAAGAATATTGGTCCAGAAATTGTCATTCTGTTATAATTTGCTGAGTGTCTTTGGATGGACATGGATTGTTTCATGACTTTCAATTTACTGAAAAAGGAAGCAGTGATTGTTGCTGTCATGTTTCAAGAGCTTTGTGAGAACAAAATGGAATGTGGGTTCAAAGATGAAAAATACATTATTATGCAGTTTGCAGGATAAAAGTTATATATTAGCACATGTGCAGCACTATATATGTGCGTATCATATATGTATTTGTATATATACATATGTGTATACATAAATGTCTCTGTATGTGTGTGTGTGTGTGTGTATGTGTGTGCATGTGTAGCATAGATGTGCTATCCCTGCTGTACCACTGATCTAGTGTTTTTATGTCCATCTTTTCATTCTCCTCTTGCTTCCATGATTCCTATGAATTACTCAGGCACTCTTCTGACTTTAGATACTACATTTTAATAACATCTAAATTTATATTTTCAATTTCAACTTTTGGTAAGATAAAATTCTGAAGTGCCAGCTTTCTACTGGACACTTTCAGGTGCATGTCCCATAGCACTTGTCAATTATCATTTCTGAAATGGAGTGGGTACCATTATGCTCTTATTGCATTTACTTTCATTCAGTTCCTCACCCTAGAAACTTTGTATTTAATTTGGATTCACTTGTCTCCCTTTGTCTTACCTTTTGCATGTGGTTTATTAGTGACCAAATTCTTTAGGTCCTGCTTTCCAAATAGCTCCTGAATCTTACATCTCTGGTCTATTCTAATGCCTCTCACAGAGTGCTGAGACCCCTATCAATTCCTTCTTGTATTGAGACATAATGAATTCTTGAAAACATGTTTGAAAGGGGAAAATAGACTTCAATATTTTTAGGGTAATGCAAGGGTTGGTGGCAGATGGTGTTTTATGGATGGAGAACTGATTCTTATTGCAAAATCATGACTTCACTTCCTGTTAAGTACTTTCTTTGTCACATCCAGGAAACTTAAAAATCTTCACTTGTGTATCCTGGGCCCCCCAGGCGGGGGAGCCCGATGAGGAGAGCATACCGAGGCATGGTGTGTCAGGTGGATTTTTTCTCTCTCGATTGGCTTTTCATCCTGCCTATTACTCCAACACAGTTGGAAGCTCATGTAAGCCTTAGTTTTTAAACACCTGAGCAACAAACTTGGGCAATTGGGATGGAAAAAGCAAATATTATCTTTCTTATCACTATAGTATGAAAACATGGCTTCTGGTTCACACAGAAGTGTTCCTCCTTCCTGCAAGTCACCCTATTTCATAAACAGCAGCAAAAGAGGAAGAAAATGGTTTGGGTAAAGAAGTTGGAGTGGTTAAGTGATTCTATCTTAAGTTGTGACCTTGTATGAATTAATTAGTTTCAAATATAAGCTGGTTGCATGCCTCATAGGTCCTCACTGCCATCCTGATGGGGCATGATGGGTCTGCTCTGCACATTCCTTCAGCATTTTCCAAAGCATCTCAGTGCAAAGCATCTATGCTGTCAGTGCTCACTTGGCTCTTCTTTCATCTATGAGCTTGACAAGAAATTCAAGTACCAGTGGCTCCATGTCACTGTTAACCATCAAAGTAGAAAATATCAATTTGATTGGGGAAAGGTAGTTTATGAATGCCAAAGTAATATCTAAGATATGTGAAATAAAACATAAACATCAGTGATCACCCAAACTAGATAATTTCTGAAACTCAGTGGGTTACACTATGCCCTTACTGCAATTACTTTTATTCAGTCCTTCAAGCTATAAAATGTAGATTCAGTTGGATTTATTTGTCTCCCCACTCCCACCCCCTGCTTTTTTAAGAAGCCTTCCTTAAGTGCCTTATCTGTTTCCATTCCTTTTCTTTCTTCAAACGACCTTTAATGTGGCCACCAGGGAAGTTTTTCCAAAATGTAGATTGATCAGTATTTTAGTTTCGTTCATCAAGTTTTCAATCTTAGTGACTTAGTGACTTCAGCCTTCACTTGTATGTCCTGGGCCCACAATTCTGGGTCCACATATTCTTTTCTAAGAATCTTTTTTTTCCTTTAAAAATAAAAGTCATGTAGCTACCACATTTCTAATTTTTTTTTCTATTTCTCACAGCTCAAGTGCTCAAGATCTTTGCTCCAAGTCCTTGGTTCACTCCATGGGTCTGATTATCACTTATGTATGCAGTGTGGTCCTTTCTCTACTTGTCTTATTTGCATCCCCATCTGTCATCCTGCTTGGCAAGAGAAAGAATGCCTCTCAAACTCCACCTTCCTGAAAAGAGGAGAAGCATAATAAATATTTATAATTTAATTTTAAATTGCTTTTATCTTTCAAATTAAACTGAAGTAATGAAAGGTTGTGAATGATTCACTTCTATACAAATTTGAGTGGAATAAAAATTAACATTAGGTGAGCTCATTCTCTCAGAATTATATCTTGAATGCTTCCTTGAGGAAGTAAAAAGTTTAGGAGCTAGGAGGAACTGTATGGAATCCTTTCTACAACTTTTCTTAATCCTGATGGAGACTGTGGAGAAACTATTGTGTTGACCATGAAAGAAATTGTAAATTATTGTTATGCTTTTGAGTTGTGAATATTGAGTGTTCTTTTGGAAGTTTAAAAGAAAAAATTCTTTTTCCTAAAAGTATGTGGGTACTTTTTTTCCCCAGTAGTAATTGAACCTAGGGGTGCTCTACCACTGAGCTACATAGTCAGTCCTTTTTATTTTATTTTGAGCCAGGATTTTGGTAAGTTGTCCAGGTTGGTCTTGAACTTATGATCCTCTTCTCAGCCACTTGAGTACTTCAGAATATAGGTGTGCACCACTGTATCTGGCATTTCCTAAAACTGTGAACAAAATCCCTGAGTCTAGCTTTATTGCCTGGATTAGGTATCTATTACTGGGCCAGTTTACTGTGGAAATGGATAGATATTGCTTAGATAGGATATGACTGAATCTAGCATAGAGAAGTCATGGATTCAGGGAAGGAGGAATTTTGTCTTAATGGCAAATCAAAGTTTTTTGTTTTCTAAGAAGGAAATTTGTTAATGGTGGTAGGATTGACACAGGTATCTATTACATTATTCTACAAACTCCTGCCTCATCCAGTCCAGCTTTCCTTTCTAACTCCATCAGCAATGGCTGTTCTTCATCCATTTCAGCTATGCCATGACTGTTCATACTTCTGTGCTTTTTCATAAGGTATTCTAATGACTGGAATGCCTTTCCTTCCTTTTTCTACCTGGTAGTCTTATGATCAAATGCCATCTATTTATTAGCCTTCCTTTATATGCTGTTGGCTAATTTTCCATCTAATTCAGTGGCCCTTTGGATTTACCTATATGAGAACATTTTTTATTATATTGGATTATTTACATAATTCATATATATAAGAGATATATCCTCTATTTTATGGGTATCTCATGGGCTTCTTCAGGCTTATGTATTCCTGATGATGGACACAGACCAGGTGATTGAATTTTTATTTATAAATCTGTGGACTTAAAAAACTAAGGAACTGTGAATTTATCCTATTGTTTCTTTTTCAGCAAGATTTCTTATGCACCAGGTATAATATAGTGCATAAGAAACCTCAACCAGGTTTCTTATGCACTATATTAAGGGAATGTTGGAAATGTGTGGAATACCTTGAGGGGTCGAAATGACCTAGGGTGGGGTGCCACAGGCATTCTTTGGGCAGGAATGTTGAATGTTCTGTAATACATAAAAGAGTCCTACATAAGTAAATGTGTAGGACTCCAAATGCTACTTCTCCTACTAAGAACTACTTATCTAGGCTGAAGCATGGAAGAGAATGATTTTTTAACAACATATATTGAATTTCTGATTCTCATTGATTCTTCACACACACTGTAAATAGTAGAGCATTGTACTTAAAGTTAGTGGGGTTTTTTTTTTTTTGAATAGTAGAGTTTTTCCATCCACCAAATTAATTTCTGTCCCTAACTATTTCATCCATATTCTCTGGGTCCTGAGGTTGGAGTGCAAGACTAAGCGATGTGAAAGTGCAGAGTAAAAGTTTGTCCTTTTCCAGGCAAACCTTCCTTGGCTAGAATTTCTCTAATCCTGAGGGAAAAAAAAGGGGGATAAAAATTAAGTTCTACGTATTTCTTTCAACAAATATGGTGAGATAATTCGATCTTAATGTTTCATTCACTGCACAGAAGGCTGAGAGTGACTAATTTCACTGATCTTTTAACAAATATATTTATAGCAAGCCTTCTGACTAAAGACACCGACATGGAGAATGGCACATAGACTTAAATCCAGTTTTCTGTCAGGAGGTGTCAGAAAAGCAAAATGGCTCTAGCATGGTCTTTTAGGTCCTATTCTAGGAAGTTTATGTTTTTGCTCTTTGTTGCTACTGATGTGGCTCTGGGATCTAAGGTAAAGCAAGAGTAGAAGGAGAGAACTTGGAAGAACACTTCTTCAAATAAGACTCTTTGATTCTTTGCTTCAAAGGTGACATTTTTGAAGAAAGATTCCTAAAAAAATAAGTTCAAAATACAAACGGTTCTTGTCATTGTACTCTGCTCTGTTATGTATAGCATAAAGTCTTGTTGAAAGAATTTGTAGAGACTTTAAAATTTGGAATTTATCAGTTATTACTTGATAAATTTTTTTGAAAGATGTTGCATGTATAAGGTATTTTATAAAATCAAATTCTAGTCTATTTCTACTATATGTTTATCTATTTATTTTTAGATACTCCCAGAAGTATAAAAGCGTCCACCGCTACAGCTGAGCAATTTTTTCAGAAGCTGAGAAATAAGCATGAATTTACTGTTTTGGTGACCCTGAAACAGACCCACTTAAATTCAGGAGTCATTCTCTCAATTCACCACTTGGATCATAGGTAAGTGTGGGTGCTGGAGTTACCCATGTTTTTGTTTATGGTTAAATGTACATGTTAAAGAGAACTAAATGAAAGCCAGCTGTAATATATACTTGATGGATTTAAAACAGAGTGATTTTACTACATTATGCAGTATCACACAGGATTGAAATCTGCCTAAAAGCTGAGGGAATCATTGCTTTTCAAGGTGCTGAGAACACACAAAAGTTACCTTTCCTAAAACAAATTTGTTAATTCCTAAATTCCTCAAGATACTCCTCAATGTTGAAGTCAAACATTGTTCTAAATTCATTAATCACTACCTATAAAAACACTGTATTCTCTTTGGGATATTTAGTTGGGTTTAGAATTTAGTAGTCTTATATAACTTATTATTTTTTTTCCTCAAAGATTACAGCAGTTACAGTGGTTTTCCTGGATGTGTGGTGAATAAAAATATTGTCTAGTATCTTCCACTGGCTCTCATATTTAGAAGCATCATTAGGTAGATATAGGGGAGGAAGAGGAAGGAGGAAGAAGTACTTCATTCATGACACTTGGCATATATATAAACACACACACACATACACACACACACACTCACACATATAGTAACACAAAATAGCTTAAGAAAGCACTTCTTTTTGAATGAATGACCACAGTTATGACAATGAAAATTTCTCTGTGTTTTTATTTTGAATACCTTCTTTACCTCTTACTATTAGTGGACCTTGGGAAAGTCACCATATCTCAAATTTTCTCTTCTCTTTCTAAACTGTATAATAATAATACCTATTTCATAGGTTGTTGTAAAGAATAAAGATTCTATATATGTAAAACACTACATATACAACAGCTTTAATAATCTTATGCAGATATCAGCAGAAATATTTATATTTGATTCCCTATCAGAAATGAGGCAACCTGGGACTTTGAAAATCTTTGTTAAATACTAGAAGGAGAACATAACTGTATGAGAAGAATAAAATATAGCAAGTCTAACTGTGATAGGAGAGTTTTTAAGTACTATCTCTGTGGCTTACTCTCAGGGTTTGAGGGCCCCATCTTTGTCTGCAAAGGATAATTTCCCAGGCCTTTCACTTGGCTTTCTTTTCTCTCAGCTTCTATTCTGTGTTTGAGGGAAGTATGTCATCCTAACTCTAATCTGGTAACTCGCTTGGAACCTTCATGGATGAGGGAGAAATGGAGAAGTTTCATCTCCAAGGGATGAATAAGTCTTCCCCCTTAGTGTGTTCCTGGTCCTACACCTCATCTTCCAGTGCTTGATACCAGGGAGATCTGTGCTTATAGTACTGTGTCTCTGCCCATGTCAATAGGGCTTTTAGGTAACATGAGTTATATATAATAAATGAAGACTGTTTGCAGAGCAGCCTGACTTATGGCTGAGTATCTCTACTGATTAGGAAGATTATCTTTTTATTTGGATACTATATTTTTCTTCCTTGTAGTTTTCTGTCACTGCCTTGTTTGTAGAGACATGGAACTCAACCAGTAGTTTTCCAGATGACATTATTTACACATAAGATGGCCACTACCACTTCCCATCTGACCCTTCTGTCTCTATACAAACCAATTCTACATACTCCATCTGCTCCAGTGGGTCTGTTGCCCCTATCTGAATGAGTCCCATATGGTTAATGTTTTCATTGGTCCCCAGAGTTGAACACATTAACCATATACATGTCTGACTGGCACAGGCCTCTTCTAATATGCAAAGTTTTCATCTAAAGATATGGGCAAGGGAAATTCCTAACACTCATCAGAAGATTTGCTGTCAAGGAGATACTTTCTTACTCTTCCTATGAAGTAGATTTGTTAGAGTTATATGTCTTTATATTGACTTATTTTAATTGAAAATAATAGTTTTCCAAATTATTATAGCAACATAGTGCCATTATGGAAAATTTATAGGATAATAATGGAAAGAACTAGAGAAACAAATCCATATTGTATTACAAAAAAGAGACTAATAATGAAATTATGTATAATCCAGTCCTTTTGTCTTTTCGTGTAGACATGCCATATTTTGTTTAATATCTTACTCATGAGTATTTAATTCATTTTCTTTTTAACTTTAGCAAATAATATAATAATATATATATATATAAAATTATATATAATTTTTTGTGATTAGATCTTATATTTTCTAAGTATATTTTTAAAATTTAATCTTCTACGCTTTTTTGACTTTTTATCTGATCTTTGTATCATCTATAAATTTGATTAAATTTAGCTAAATACATCATATTTGAGATATACTACATCTTTCCATTATATAAAAAATAACTTAGTATTATGAGGTACTTTTCGTTTACTTTAAATAAAATTTTGTTGATGAATTACACTTATATATAATAGTGGAATCATTATTAAATATTCTGTATGTGAACTTATATACTTTGGTCAATTTTATTTCCTAGTATATTCCCTGTCCTTTTCCATCTCTCTCCCCCTGATCTCTACTCTCTACTATACTGGTTTCCTGTTTTCATGATATTACTCCCCACTCCCCCACCACACTTTTTTTTTAATCTCTGTAGCTTTCACATATAAGACAAAAATTGTGATTGTTGACTTTCTGAGGCTGCCTTATCTCTATTAACATGGTGCTCTCCAGTTTCATTCAATTTCCTGAAAATGACATAATCTCATTCTTCTTTATGGCTGAATAAAACTGCATTGTGTATATACACCACATTTTCATTAGTCATTCATCTCTTGAAAGACATATAGGTTGATTTCTTAACTTGTCTATTATGAATTGCACTATTGTATACATGGGCATGGGTATATCACTATAGTATGCTGACTTTAGTTCTTTTGGATAAATACAGAGGAGTGGTATGGTTGGGATTCTTCTATAGTGGTTTTACTAATTCACAATCATAGAAACAGTGTACGAGTGTTCTTTTTATCCTAGCATCCTTGCCAGCATTTATCATTATGTGTATTCTTGATTGCTGTTTTTATTGGAGTATGATGAAATCTCAGTGTAGTTTGATTTGCATTTCCCTGATGGCTACAGATGATGAACATTCTTTCAAAACAACAAAATGTTGGCCATTTATATTTATTCCTTTGAGAAATGTCCATTTAGTTCCCGTCCAATTGTTGATTAAGTTATTTGTTTTTTTTGGTGGTGTTTTTTGAGTTATTTATGTATTCTGGAGTTTGATTCTCTGTCAGAAGAGTAGCTAGCAAAGATTTTCTCCCATTCTGCAGGCTCTCTTTATGCTCTTGTTTCCTTTCCTGTGTAGATGCTTTTTAATTTGTAACCATCCATTTATTATTTCATGGTTATTAATAAATGGTGTTCTGAACTTCAGGAATTGCATAAAGGAAACCCTTGCTTATATGTAGGATGTTGACCCTGTGTTTTCTTCTAGCAGTTGCAGTCTTTCTGGTGTGATTTCTAGGCATTAGATCCATTTTAAATTGACTTTTGTTCAGGGTGATAGAAATCTGGTTTCTTCTACACATGGATATCCAGTTTCCCAGCACTGTTTGTTAAAAAGACTGTCTTTTGCCCAACATATGTTCTTGGTAACTTTGTCAAGGATTAGATGACTGTTTCTGTGTGGGTTTATCTCTGTGTCTACTATTCTATTACACTAGTCTACATGTCTATTTTTATACCAGTACCATCTGTATTTGCTACCATAGCTCTGAAGTTGTTTTTTTTAAATTGGTTATTGTGATGTTTATAGACTTGAATTTTTTTCAAAAATGTTTTGGCTATTGTGGTTGTTTTGTTCTTTTGTATGAATTTTAGGACTTTTTTTCTAGTTCAAGAAAAATATAGTATTTTCATATGGATTGCATTGAAACTGTGTAACACTTTTGGTAATTTGGCAATTTTAACAATAATAACATTGCTTATCCAATAACATAGAAGGTCTTTCCATATTCTAATTTTTTCCTTCAATTTTTTTCTTTAATCTTCTACAATTTTCATTATGGGGGTCTTTTGCCTCTTTGATTATATTTACTCATAGGTGATGTTTTTGTTGTTGTTGTTTGTTTATTTTTGGGGCAATTGTGAATGCAATTATTCTCATTTTTTCAGTAGATTTATTATTCATGTATAGAAAAGTTATTTTGATTTTTGTATGCCAATTTTGTATCCTACTACTTTGCTGAATTTGTTTATTAACTGTAGTAATATTCTGGTAGAGCTTTTTGTATCTTGAAACTATAGGATTATATCATCTGTGAACAATGATAATTTGACATCTGTTCCTGTTTATATCCCTTTACTTTCTTCTCTTGCTTAATTGCTCTGCTTAAAACTTGAATTACTATATTGAATAGAAGTGTTGAGAATGGACACCCTTAATTTGTTCCTGATTTCAAAGGGAATGCTTTCAGTTTTTCCTATTCAGTATGATGTTGGTTTTAGGTTTGTAGTATTTAGCCTTTATAATGGAGAGGTAAGTTCTGACTATCCCTACATTCTGCATTAGTTTTATCATGAATGGGTGCTGACTTTTGTCAAAGACTTTTACTATACCTATTGAGATAACCATGTGATTTTTGTCCTTATTTCTATTTATGTGGTGAATTTCATTTATTGATTTGCATATGTTGAACCATTCTTGAATTCTGGAATATAACTAATTTGATCATATGGTACATTTTCTTAATGTATTTCTGAATATGGTTTTCTAAAGTTTTATTGAGGAATTTTTCATATAAGTTCATCAAGGATACTGGGCTATGGTTTTCTTTCTTTTATGTTTCCTTGTCAGGTTTTGGTAGTATGGTGATACTGGCTTCATAGAAAGAATTCAAAGACATCTGCCCTTCTTTCTATTTAATGGAATAGATTAAGAAGCATTCACATTCATTCTTCTTCAAAGATCTGGTATAATTCAGTTTAATATACATCTGTTCATGAACTTTTCTTTGTTTTAAGTTTTTGTTTTGTTACTGCTTCAGTCTCATTGCTTGTTGTTCTTGATCTGTTTTTGTTTTTCTGTATCATCTTGGTTCAATTCTGG